AATAACGAACAGTACCACTACCATGTCCACCATCTCTAACAAACTAACACTCACCACAAAAAACCACCATGAGCACCATCGCCATCAATCAAATGAAAAACCACCATAGCACCACCAAAAATCAGGCTATCTTGCCATCACAACCACAACCACCACGGCACCACCACAACCACACCACCATGAGAACTACCACCGCCACCAGATAAACCACCACTAATAGTGCCACTACCACCCAAAATCAATGTACAACAATACCACTACAAAACACCACCAACCTCAAAAAAACTACTTGCAAATGCCACCGCCCCACAAACACCACCAACTGAGGGGCCTAGTGGACTTCGGTTGTCATCACAACACCGCTAATGGTATTGGAATCTATATACCACTCGTCGCTCCACCTCGCATAGCATCAGGATCTCTCAGTGCCGCTCCACCTCTCGAAATCTCGTAGGCAACTCCTTCTTCACTACGCAACGGTGTAAAGCAACATCGCCCTTAGATTAACATCGCCAATGAAATCTATATACCCCGCACAGATCGAAATCTCACGCCGCCCCACCTCGCACAGCTCTCAAATTAATGCAGCTCTACCTTGCAAGGATCGAAATCACATGCTGCCCCACTTTTCACAGTTGCTCCAATGTGTGATGTGTGGTAAAGACACATGGATAATGGAGAGATATGAAGAGAGAATGGAAAGGGGAAATGAATAGTATCAAGGGTGAGGGATTTAGAGGGAGTTTGGTGGGGATTAAAATTAGATTTTTAGTAGATTGTGATAGAAGTTTTTGAAATGTGTGGTTGAAAAGTTGTGAGACCCATGAAAGATGTGGTTAATATTGATTGTTTGACTTTAACTTGAATTAAAGTTAGATTTTAATCCGGACCAAACAAGGGCTTAGGGATTGGTTGTTTGGGAGTTCAAATCAGTGGATAAATTAATTTAATTAATATTAAAATGTTTAAATTATTATCTGATTAAAAAAAAAAAAACTTTCAAAACTGATTTTTTAATTGGATATTTTAAAACTTTGAGTAGGTGTAATTTTCACTTTTAACAATTATCATCAATCCACTTCATTCATTACCACAATTTACCATTATTAGACTTGCAAAATATTTAATTAATATTTAAAAAATAAGGTTAAAATTATATAAAAAAATCAGAAAAATATTTGGCCCCCAGTTTGGAAGAATTTATAAATGATTTAATTTTAAACAGATCGAAATGACGGGTAGATTAGTGGAGAACATACACCTGACCTGACCTGACCTCACCTCGCTTCAAATTTTTATTTTATTTTATATATATCTTTTGAAATTTAAATCATATTTAAAAAGTAAAAATAAAAAAATACGTGGAGAGAAATGAGGATATTTTAATTTTCATCATGTTGTCATTCCTAGTCAAAAGCGGAAAGCCTATAAATAAAAAAAAGGTTGAACCCCAACCTTGAGAGCCCCCCACCGACCTTGCCCTGGGCCATTGTGGAGGAGGTAAATCGCAGGATGTGCCTCCCAGGAGCCAGGGTGGAGAGCTTATGGATAGGCCTTGGGCTATTAACCCTATGGTAACTCCCGCTTGCAACAAAGTCAATTCCACCTTGCGGGGAATCGAACTCTGCANTTGCGGGGAATCGAACTCTGCACACTACCGCGTTGAGCCCTAACCGTCCTCCCCTTTGCTACTGGGAGATATGCCCTGGGGGCCGGAAAGCCTATAAATAAGGGAAATTATATTCACACCACACCTTTTATTATTTGCTCTACCTTTAAATTGCACTTAAGATCCCGAACTTTGCTCATTGTAACACATACGTCTCTAACCTTTTATCATCAAATTCTTATATTTCAACCTTCTATTAATTAATATATGACTTCTATCAAAATGTTTTGTTTGCGTGCTTAGAAATAAGACAAAAAAATAAATAAATAAATAAATAAAATTCTTTGATGAACTGTCATCTTTATTATTTTTGTAAAAATCTGACCCCTGTTGGATGGGGGCTTAAAATTAGATTTTTAGTAAATTTTGATAGAAATTGATAAAATGTGTGGTTGAAAAATTGTGAGATCAATACAATATGTGGTTAAAATTAATTGTTAACTTTGATTTAGATTAAAATTTAAATTTTAATTGGTACCAAACATGTGCTTTATGAACAAATAAGTCATTTTACGCATGCCCAAATGACCTTTTGGACGAAACTGTTACTAGGGCAACATTTACTAAGTAATGAAACTTGATGATAAGAACGCATCGAAAAAAAATAACTACTTGTGCGTAACAGTGAACAAAGATTGAAATTTTAAGAGAGAGAGAGGGATGGTGTGTGTGTGTGACTGTGTGATAATAATTACCCCAAAAATAATCCCATGGTAGCACATTTTGGCTCGAAGATGCGGTATCGACTTAACTCTTTAGGTACCGTTGCTATCGAGGTTGATGTTCCTCCACCCCTATCCCATTGGATTCCAACTCACAATAGACTTTTGACAATTAATGCTCATTGTGGTCACGATATTTAATTAATGGCATGGCTGAATAATAATGCACAAGAATTTAAATTGTTCAGGATAGAAACCTGAATGGTGCTCACTTTATACCGTGTGCGAAAAAGTCCTTCAACTTTAAATCGATTTTGCTTTCAATAAATTGTGTCATATTATCCTTGTTGTCGTAGTAGGTGTCAACGTAACATTAAGCTCCTGTTTGGTGCACATTTTGGTTATAAAAATGTATTTTTACTGTTGATGTGATGGAGAATATGTGGTTCAAAAAAAAAGTTATTTATGTGATGAAAATGTTATTTTATTAAAGAATGTGTGGTGAAAATGAGTACAAGAATGAAAATGAGAAAAATAATGTGGCTCAAACAGGGCCTAAATAGGATGCCAAGTCATGTTTTCGTAGTTTGTAGGTTGCCCATTAGTAATTTTGGACAAAATTCTTTCTTGAGACTAACACGTTCACCGTTGACCGCAAATTTTATATCTCCAACGTGACCAACAGATCTCAAAGCCTCTCGCGTCTATGCAAGCCAATTCCTGGACACTTGAACAAATCATTAGTCACACATGACCTCCTTCGGTGGAGGTAGAGTAGGCAGCGCACAATCTGACGGTCAAGTCAACCAAGAAGATGTGTATACGAGTGTGAGAGAGCTTTAAACGTGAATTTTCAATGTAAAAAGGAGGGTCGACTTTGGGGTATGATAGATTAAATAGTGATAGAGCTAAATTATATTTTATGAGTTTATACTTGCATTACTTTTTGAATGACACTAAATGTGAGCTTTTATAATAGAAAATGATAATTAAGAGTCGATAAAGGGCCTCATCATAATGATCGGGGCCTCTTGTCATAACCATCAATCCATCATGGGTATTAAATATTAATACTATTTTATTATCCATAATACCTAACTTGCGACTTTAGACTTGACCTATTTAACTTGAAAGGGCGCTGACGCAATGAATTGTCACATCAATCACATACCATGGTTTGCCTGAGAAGATTTTGTGCTGAACTCCTTTAGCGGTTCCACTATGATGCAAATTTGGTTATTTTCCATGGAGATCGACACGTTCCAATGGGCTCGACATCCGTACATTGGGTCGCCCTATTCACGGATTCGATCAAACTGCCTCGTGGTAGTTCGACTTGGAGTATGGGGCCCTAGGCTTACTTGCCATATAGGATTTCTGGAGCCTTATAATGTGAGGCGTAACATTCACGATCTCAAGTTAATGAACTAACAAAGTTTGATTTAAAGTTTCGAAACACTTTCCATACACGAGGTAAAGTCCTGGGAAAATTCACTTTTTTTACCCATTTAAATTCACTTTTTGAACAGTACTATAAACTCCTTATCATGCCAGCAATAGAAAAAAATTTGTGGTAGCAGATTCTGGCTCAGAACATCATGTTAGGCCACATTCATCTTTCAGCATTGAAGCTTGGAGTCAGCCAACCCAACCCCACAATCTGTACCATATATGATCTATGCACATTTGTGTGATAGATTGGATGCCAACTCACAAAAACTTTTGGCAATTAAAGCTCTAGGTGGGTTCATTACTCGTGACAATTTGCTAGAATAATGCAGAGATGACCTCTAACATTCTTGGCCTTGAAAGTTTTCCCAGTAGGTACACTAGACGTCGACTTGTATTAATTGGTGTAACTACAAGTGCCAGCCATGTCTCAGCAAAGAATCTTAACTGGCCACTGATTTGTGAACCATAATTTCCATTAAATTGCAATAATGTTGTTTTGAAAAAATTATAGTGTGTCAAAATGTCTCAGCCATACTCGCATCAGGATTGCCCATAACTTTTAATCATGTCATGCCCGTATGAGATGGTGAATCAAGCTTCATCATCACTCTTTCTTCAGGCCGAATTTCGTCCATGCTCGATGAGTGGGTCTTGTAGTCAAGCTCCCTTCTATATAACGACGTTAACCGAAAAATTTCAACACTTGCAAATTGTGAAGTTCTAGAACTGTCAACTTATTACTGCTGTTCTAGTGAAGCTTCTAAATAACACTTGACATGTTCAATGCATCAAGCCAGTCAATGCTCCATTAATATGGGTTCTTGGATTATAATATTCTTGCTTCTAAGTCAGGGTCTTGATGCCTTGTGAGGAAATTCAACAAATTTCTTGTCTAGAAAGGCAATCGTGCAGGCAAACAAGCAATGAATGACAATCAATTCAGGAATAAATCGAGGCATTTATTATGTATCGAGGACATTGTAGTCGACTCTGAATTTACTATGAATAAGGTTTACTTTGATTAAAGAAACAAAACATACTCAAACCCATCCACAATACACCATTGAGTTCAGAACACATGTAATATTAAACAGCAGTATGATAAAATATAATGATGATCCAAAATCATTACACATTTCAAATTGACTCGAATGTTTGATATACGACATCATGAACTGCAGAAAGCAATTTTATTCGCAGCTTAAGTTCAAATTGTGTTAATCACGACTATTTTCTCGTCCAATGGAATCAAGACCGTCTGTCCTTATGCGTACAATCCTACAAAACACTTCTCTTACTTGGCGCACTAATGGATCCAATCCATCCTTTACAGCTCCGTGCACTCCCTTTAATTCACGAATTCTCTCCTTTATCTCTTCCTCCTTTAACTCGTTCAAGGGGAAATGAACAGAATACGTCAACTCATTCATGTGTCGTGCACATTTCTCAATCAAGCGAATCTCCTTCAACAGTCCACAAGAATTTCTCCTGTCCCTCTTTCGCGACTCCTCCAAAATCCTATCGTGGAGTGAGATAATTGGAATACTCCAAACGAACTGTCTAGTCACCAAAAAATGGCTCTGAAGACCACGGTCTTGACAAGGGATCGCAGCCACGAGAGCCCACATCACGAAAAAAAGCACATAGTTCATCGTAAAAACAGCCACATTTAGTCCATTGGTGGCTATAATCTCATTAGCCCGAGGAGCAACCAAGTTATTCCCAATTGCTTGCAACTGCCTAGCAGCAGACCAAGAACGCGAAACACTCCAAGAGAGTGATCGAAAATGGCCTAAGGATGTACTCTCCTTCGCCATATTATTGCGGCCAAACGACCTATTTCTACGCGCCAGAGTCGTATTTGATTCTTTCTCATCAAGCATTCCAATATCCAAGTCGATCAAGGCCTTTTTAGCACGTCGAATTTGGCCTTCCCCAAGGCTCCGCTGATTGTCTAATGCACACAAAACAATCTCCAATTGCATCTGCCATTGCCTAATCTTCTCAATCCCATCTCTAATCGCATTGCAAACATCTAAAGCCTTGATAATCCTTTCGAAAAACTCAGAAATGTATCTATCCATTGGATGTCTATTCAAGAAATCCTTGTTCTTGAATACAATTAGTCTAAATTCTTCTTGGCAGCAGATATATGCATGCAAAAGCTTGCGAATCCACGAGATTGAGAGCAATTCATCGGAATCTACGGCAGCTAAATCGTTAAACCTTTCAGCCACCTGTTTCTGAAATGATTCCAATTCAATTTCTTGGCTAGGAGAATCCATGGAGTGAACCTGATCGGGCAGTCTGTTCAAAATTGAAAATCCAAAGCCCGAAAAGGATGCTGATGACGCTTCTCGACAATCTGTGGCTGGCATTTCTTAGCTTTACAGAGAGTTTTCAAGAAAATCTTGAAATCGAGAACGGAAATGCAAACTCAAAAGACCAAACTGTAGTAAAAAAAGAACATATCTTTCAAGATTTTATTCTTTTTTTTCCAACTGAGAACCTAGACACATAACTGGGAGCAAAAAGGCCAAAAAAAGAGCACCAACAAGATCCAAGAATAGCTAGAAAAGCAAAAAGGATGCTCTTTTGGCAGAAACTTGCACTACAAGATCAAGAAAAAGTTGAAGACTCAAACTTCAACAAGCAAAACCCAATTTAATAAACAAGAGAAAAAGGGATTCAAAGATCAAGAAAAAAAAATTATGAAATGGGAATATGGGAATATAGGATGTTTGAAAATCCGGGAAGCTTTTATTGGAGGGTATTTGGACCGCGTAACGTATAGTGGTTTATTGGTAAATGGATAGAGAGAGAGAGAGAGAGACTCAAATGTTGGAACTTATGATTATGACTCTTAGCCCAGGGGCTTAAATTATGTTTTTTCTCCATTTTAGTTAAGAAAAAATTGATAATATTTGTGAATCTTATTAAGTCCCGATTTGGTAGAAATTATAGCTTTTAATCAAAGTCAAGGAATAATTTTATCCACATATTTTATGAGATTCACAACTTTTCAACAATATATTTCATTAAATTTTATTAAAATCTACTAAAAATCTGATTTTAATCCCACAAAACGAGTAAAATTTAACTTTGAAAAATAAACTTTTTGAGTAAAAAACCAGGAACAGTCAGAGGATTGATATTTTCCTTTTGAGTAAAAACCAAGATAGAAGCTAGATATTTTCCTTTAAATTGATATGTTTACAACCATATGTGGTTGACGAGATTGGTTAATTGGTGGCACGAGGCAAGAAATTGCAGTCAACAGTGGGCCAACTGCCAATTGTAGACTGGAGGAGGGCGAGCCAGGTCTCTGTTGTTTACAAATTTCTTGCATGTGATTTTTCTATTATCCACTCTCCCATCTCTCATCTATCCTTTTTTTTTTTTTTTGGCTTATCATTATATGCTCAGTTTATTAATATTTTTACATATAAGGAAGGCTTTTTGGAAAAAAAGATATTTGGGTTGGGCATTGGATTGGATTGGTTTTGGACCTAAATCAGCCTGAACCAATCCGACCCTACCCGATTCGGGTTGGATAGCGAGATGTCTTGTGGTAAATTTTGTAACACAAAATTATTTCACACGTGTATATTTTTTTGAGGATTTGAAGTGGATATATTTCATGAAACGTAGCTAATGTTTCTTTTGATGTTTTTACATGCATTATACATCGATATTCACAATCTACAAATATTAATAAACTCAATATTAGAGGATAAAACTATATAAAAATATTCAATAATGAAATTAGTGAGATGAAAAGGTCAAACTATTTTTGTTTGACGTGGGGTTTCAATAATTTCCCCATTTCTTTAAAAAATCAGGAGTTTATTTAAATCGATTAAACGGTGAAATAATCTATTAAAAATGTACTTGCGATTTTTTAGTCATTATCAAACCCTTTGGTTGCCATTTCCGTATCAATCTATCAATAAAATAATTTATAGATAACATCAGAGACAATTTATTTTAAAATAAATGCTTTTTATTGCTGCTTATGCCCTTTTTTTAAATAAAAAAAATAAAATTTTGTTACGAAAAAATTTATTCACTTCTCATTATCAATGGAATTGAAAGTTTTCTTAATTGAAATTAAATTAAAATACTGTTAAATTATATTACCTGATTAAATGGAATAGAAAGTTTTCTTAATTGAAATTAAATTAAATTACTGTTAAATTATATTACCTGATTAAAATCATATTAAATAAAATTGAAATACGGCTACCTCATCGACTTATGTGAATGAAATTAACTCTCAATATTTATACGATTAAACCTTTACAATAATTATTATTTAACAGGAGTGATTTTGTACGTGTACAGCAAAATCATCCCATCAGTCACTGATATTTACACAATTATTTCCTCTTTAAAATCAGATTGCTCTCTGATTGCCTCTTCTTTTATCTCTTTGTCCTTCCCCCATAGGACGCAGTAAAGCCCTCCTGCCAGTAATAAGCCCCCGCAAATGCTGCACGAAATCGAAACCTAGTCAATTTTGTTCCACACACAATGTAACCCGTATAGGGTACAAAGTGAGACGTAAAAAAATTGTAAGTTGTCACGTTCAGTCTTGTCGAAATTCTCGACTGTAAATTTTGAAAAAAAGATGTATGGACCGACCTTCCCAAATGGAGTATCTCCTTCCACAAGAACATTGAGATTATAGCAGTAATAATCAGTGCCAATGGAGTGAATGCAGCAGCGAAAAGGGGACCTTTTTTCTCCACGGCCCAAATTTGTAACCAATATGTCACACCGGTCACCACTATACCCTGCAATATAACAAAGCATAATGGTCAATGATATTTTGCAGTTCGTCACACCCTAGAGGCCATGATTGTTACCCTTCATTGGACTAGATTATTTGGTACCGGATAGAACACAAACTTTGTTCGCTCACTTTCTTCTTAACCTAATAATCCCAGAACAAATCTCGGAAAAGGGAAAAAGAAACAAGGTCCAAGGCATAAGTGGGATGAGAAGACGTACACAATAGGCCACTGAAAGAAGATTCAAATCCCATCCAAGCTTCCATGATGATATGTCCCTCTCCATTGCCATGGCCAAAACTAAGGATTGTAGGCAGCTAAAGAAACACTGCAGCGCGGTGAGACGGATTTTTGCCGGATATTGTTTCATCAGAGGGGCCTAAAATTCCAAATTAAAATATTTCAATTGTTGTGTCTAGTCGTGTCACGTTGAGCACACGAAACATGTCAAAAAATTTGAATTAAAAGTGACTTAGGGAAATTTGAACTCTTAGTCCTCATGTTTTAAAGAAGAACACGTTTGTCCTCAATCAACTACGAAAAAACTGTCCAACTCTGTTAAATTGTTACATGGTCCTCTCATATCTAACTTTATGAGGTTAAGTATTGTTTCCCTACTTGAGATCCTTCACTAGAATTTGGAAATGAGACATTTTTGTGGGGTCTATATGACCATTTAATGAAGATTTGAATGGTTTTGTCATTGAGTATTGATTGTGCAACTATAATGAAAGGTTGAATATCAACTTGCTCATTTTCAAAGGTTAAGCAACAACTTGCTACTCGAGCAATAAATTGGAAACACCAATGGTGCAATATTCTTATGTTCCTAATTATTAATAGTGAAGGATTCACACATGAAAAATAGATTCAATGTCCATTAGAATCAAGAAAATTTATGGGTTATCATGTCCAATCATATTAGTAAGAATATCACTCGACCTGCATGACGAGCCATGAAGCCCAAGCGAAGTTGGCCAAGAGCATGAGTAGACAGCCTTTCACCCAGTCCTTGGAACTCAAATTCATGTTTGGAATTGTTTTTTGGTTTGGTGTGAACCAGTTCATGAAATTCACTTGAGGCCCTTTAACAAATGCAAACACCATTGCCCCAGAAAGACCAATCACTGAACCTACTACCTTGGCAATCCCATAAGAATGCCTTATGGAGATGCTCTCAATTCTTGCCAAAAAAAGAAGAAGATAAAATCATTATTTTGACATAAGAATAAGGTACAAAGATTTCATGTTCAATTGGTTGAATCATTTCGTTTAAAAGTTTATTTATTTAAAATTGTCTTTAATATGTCCACTTGTGTGCAAACCAAATTCATGAAATGCATGAGCGAGACTTGAACTCATATGTTTTGCCTGTTTTAGTAACATGTTAAAACACCTTATCTAAATGGAAACAATTATTTTGAGTACTTGTCAATTTACCTTAACGTAGCGGCGATCACAAAAGTAAGCACAGGTATTGTGTTTACACTGGCAGCAGCAAATGTTGCAGAGACGAAATTTATAGCATACAAATAGAGATTCAAGCTCAACGTAATCCTGTATTGTACCAGAAAAATGTTGAATCAAACTCAAACTCGCATGCCTTGTTTGGTAGTATGTACAAGACTGTAGTATCGAGTACCATATATCAAACATGCATGTAATATATGATGTATCAGTATGAAATTTGATCAAAAGTGCATACCCGAACAAAGAAATCAAGAAGATTTTCCACATTAACCTGTATGATACAGGATCAGCTTTCTTCCTGCCAATTATATAAATACTCCATCAGAAGATGCGAAGAACCAGTTTAAAAAGAGTGGAAATATTGAAGAAGACAAACCTGTCTATGAAGAAGGCAAATGGAGCCAAGGTAATAGTGGCAAATACTTGGCGATACGCTACAAAGACAAAAGGGTTCATTCCTTTAGCTATAGCTGCTTTAGAGAACAAGGCCATGCCTGCATAGGCAAGCTGTACGAATATCATTGCAAGGCATGTTTTGTTTTTCTCCAAGTAGTTAACCATTTTATTGAAACTTGGCTTCTTTTAAGTTATGTGAGTATGGAAACATCTTGCCCCGTATATAAAGAAGCATTCGGAGGTGTAAAAGTGGGCCAGGCCATTTAGGAAATGACAGCCCCAATGTTATAAGCATGGCACAGGCAAGGTCTGGCCAGTGTGGGCTAGGCTATGTGGACCTATATTCTTTGGCCTATTATGCCTAGAAGGTGGCTCATATCAGGTCGAAGATGGCTTGATACCACTTGACATGGAATGCCCGTGCGGTGCCCAAGGGTTCCAACAATGGGCGCGCTCGACCACAAGCCAGCACAAGCAAACACACGATACTTTGAGTAGGATATAGCGACAATACATGCATATGAGTGTCATCATTAATGCACTTTCGATAGTATGGACAATACAAAGCTCATGCGAATTTTACGTGGCCACAAAGGTGGAGGGAGTTTGCTAGGTCTGTGAGTGTGAGAACTGTTCGATTTACAACTCAATAAACTAAAGAGTCAGCCTTTTGTGTTTCAATAAAGGGTAGGGGAGGGCTCCATACATTATAAAGTAGTAAAAATCTGCATTCTTATGCCAAGCTGTTTCCCATACTTCAAACAAGAAATGTAATAATTGTGTCATATTTTTGTTTAAGTAGCTCAAGTCAGAAAAAATAGCAGCAGGAAAAGAAAAAGAGTGATGTCTCCATCCTTTGCCCATTACCATTATACGTGATCATAAATTTGGTAAGTTATCGCCTCACTAACTAAATAATTCAACGCAAGCTCCTCTTCAAAATGATTCCTCATTTTATATGTAGAGTATTGTCACCATTTGTCCAGAAGCTATAGTTGATGGCAACTACGTAATCCATTCTATATCATCCAAAACCAAGTCTGGGAATCCACACCAAGCTTAATTCGTCGGGCATACCCCATTTCAACCATGCTCCTGCATTATCCATCCGCTCATGGGAATGCTTTAGCATTGACTCGTACAAAGAATCTTCAGTTATGATACCAACTCGATGTTGGACATTGCCATTATTTCGTCCAAAAGCTATAGCTCATAGCACAAATGCAATCCCCCTAAATAAATCAGAACGAGTTCTGGAAATCCACCCCAAGGTCAGTTCGCACCCCATTTCAAACATTCTCCTGCATCATTAACCTATGACTTGACACTTATTGGTCTCTCTCTCAGGCAGACCATAAAGTCTAAATTATGCTGGAGATCAAAGAATGATCTTACATATCACAAGCGCACAAACATGTCACTAGGAGACGATCTTGCTGGTAACAAACATGTCACAAATGCACTGTGAAATTAAAGCACTGATCACTATTTCTACTGGATACAACGCTGAAAAGTGTACTATTTCCGAGTGATGTTCCATCAATGGATCGTTTTTGTTATTGTACATTTGAATATTTCCAAATTAACTTGTACCTTGTTAATCACTTTGGGAGCATTGGCAAAAGGTACAGGACAAGTGTGTTGACATGCACCGCACAAAGATAAAGCTATATTGCTGTCAACTTTTAATCTCCGTGTATGATTGAGACGTTAAATTTAACGAGACTAACAAGTTACTAATATTGACGGTTTAATTTAATAAGGAAACTAACAAATATCACTTGTACCTTCATGATATGCATGTCTCGCAATTATAGCTTGTAGGTCACCTCCATACACCGCACATGAGAGTCAATAAACTTTGAGCGTCATGTATTATGTTGAGGGTATGCGCCGAGATGACCTCGACTCCTTGGCAAGTTGGGATAGGTTAATTTTTGCTAGTTGTATACCATAGGAGATGGTGATAATTAGCAAGTGCACTGCATGGACCCGACTTATATGCAGAAGGTGCTTATTTCTGTTAGGACAGTAGCAGCATTTGCACTACAATTAACAAACAATAAACAAAAATCAAACGTTATTGTTGAAATCAAAGGATGTAAGATTTCCTAGTCCAAGAAATCCTTATCTACAATTTTCAAATGTTGATATCATTCATTTTCATAGACAGTATTGAGTAACCACTTTGTTGCCACACTAAAGATAAAAACGAAGCCACTACTCTCAATTCTTATCCTTTTGTGAATATTGTCACGTTTCATATGAAATTGTTGTTCTTATGGTGTGATATAAACAAAATAGTGTAATGCATTGGCTGATTTCCTTGTCGATGACTGCTGCTGCTTGATCTTTCATGTGAGGCATTTTTAGATGTTCTTTTTACGAGAAGACAACGTGTTTCTATTCAATAAAGTTACGAGGAACTCCAAGATGTGGCATTGCCTTTAATCAATCGAGGTATTAAAAAATGCATTGTCCCACAATATCCAAGTGATGTATGTTGAGAAGAGTAATGCTATTAAATACTGTCGGTGTTACAATGTTAGTTTAGGTGGAACTAAGTATCGTTAAATGAAAAGTATAACTAAATTAATCACATAATTTCATCTTTAATTAAATATATCACATGGTGCCACATAAACTGGTGCTATAACACTAATGTTAGATAGCGTTATTCAGTTGAGAATTGGATTTCATCGTAATAAAGATTAACCAAATTCGTTTATGAATCTAAGATAATCTTATGTCTACTTGATTTGGGACTTTGTTCCTCACTTTTACCAACATTCTCCTCTTGAACAAATAAGCAAGCTAGAGGGTTCTATTTGCTTTTTAGGGAAATGAATAATTTTATGATAATATTTTCTTATCTATTTCAAAAAGAATGAATAAGCAAGCTCAAGTTTATGGTTGAACCTTATATTGAATTAATGGTTTAAGCTTGCATAGAGACAAATATATTTATAATATAACGTTTATGTTTAGAATGTTTCAATTTAAGTGTTCTATTGAGATTTCACACCAATATGTTTAATTTTTCACTTGTTTGAAATATGTTGTTTTTATGTCGATAAATGTGTGATTTGAGGTTTGAAAATACTTCAAAAACTGTCCAAATTGAATCGTGTTCACCTCTGCCGTCTTGGTTCCTCCACAATTAAAAATTCGTCTTGTGTATGCACTCGGTTAAATTTGAGACGACCTAACTTTGATCTTGTTGGCCTAAAAAATATGATCAAATTGGATAATCCCATTTCCAAAAATAAAACATGTGATTTGTATTGTACATACCATTAACCATTACTTTACTAGCAAATGTATAGTACTATTCACAACCCTACCACGTCTAAGTGTCTACACTATTAACATAATTATTTGTTGTCAATACCATACAATTTTAATAAAAAGTTAGAATAATTTAGAGTTTTATAATATTGGATTTCTTTGAGTAATCGAAAATTTTATTTGTTATAGAAAGTTTGGTAGTCTTTCACGTTCTTAAATAATTCGTCTCTCATGCAATCATTTAACGCTTGAAATCCTAAAAATTCTCCCATCGTAATAGTCGAGTTATACTATTATGACTTATTTGATAAGATAAAGGATAATATTAAAACGATTAAAATCATATCAACTGTACAATCTAAAATATTTCATAGTCGACGTGTCGAAGCAAACTAGCTCAAATTAAGCGGACCCACCTTTAGTGGCAGGTCAATCGAGGTCGTAAATTATTAGGTTAATTTCCAGCAATATGCTACATATGAATGATTACTATTGGCAAAGAAAATAATCAAATAGTGACAAAAAATAATTATAATCATAAGAGATATTTTCTAACCATGAAAACAAAATATATTCAATTTGCAACAGCATCACAGGCCCTTAATTGGGCCTTTACCTGATTGATTTCATAATTTCGGGCTTATTGACAAGCCCAAGTACATTCAAAGTCGATTGATCCAAGTCTGTAGTTGTAATTTCTCTGGATTCAATGCGTAAGTAGGCCCGTTACTGGCCTGGGATTTGGAGGCCCAATATTAACGGTTGTTGAGAGTCGTGCGTCGTTCCTCTAGCTCAAGTATGCTATTAATAAAATAATGAAATATAAAGTCAGATTTCATTTTTTAACTACATATTTTACTGAATCGACATGTATTATCCACAACTTATTTTTATCCATTTATAAAATAAATTGTTTATAAATTATTTTCAATGAATTATAAGTAAAGCATGATATAAACACATCACATGGACAAGTTACAAGCACTTTGCTTTATTGTGCATAAAATTAATAGCATCTTGACAGCTTTGGCAACTACTAATTCCAATTACCACCCTATATATGACTAGAAATTAATGGCTATTATATTGCCATGATCTAATTAGATTTGTAAGACAAATGGTAGGACCCACAATCTTAATTTCTCGAATTCTCAAATTGTTACGATTCATTAAAAAATTTCGATCCGATAGAATACCACCACAAATAATCGAATGGGTGTAAGGGACGAAACAAAAGGAAAGGGAGGATGAGCGAACATGAATAGAGATAGAGGGGGCCGTGGCCACGTGGGGCTGGCAACATGTTCGAGGTGGGGAGTCGTGATGGGATGTGGGGTTTCTTTTATTTTTATTTTTTTTCGTCTTTTCATTTTTAGCTATAATTAATGTGCAAAACAAACAACTCGATAGAAAAGGTTACACTTTCAATTCGTGGGGACCAACTTGCACGGATCAAGGACCTAAAATGTAGAAGAAAAGAAAAATTGATAGAAACACAATTGTAGAACTAAAGCTTAAGGACTGTAGCTACAAATTAATGTGGGGCCCGATTACGTTAGTTAATGATGGGAATAATAACGGCGACTGCAGATGACGTTAGAATTTTCTGCAATGATAAGACTTTTATTAAGCGTTGAGTGTGATTGTACGTAACGGCTACCCTGTATATATAATATTTCCACTTGATAATTTTTTATCGGCCCACCACAAGTTTAGGGGTACATCGTTTTTTAACCTCAAAATAATGTAATTATTAACGTTGTGTCTGGGATGTAGTATTATATATTAGAATGATGTTTCTTAGAAATCGATCGACTTTTCATTTTGAAGAAAGGATGGGCTTGTTTGGCACCCATTCTTTTGAAGAATGAGTTTTTGAATAGTGATTGATATAAAGAATGTGTGGTTAAAATGTAAGAAGAATTTTTAGGTTTATGTGTAATATTATTTTATTTGGAGAATGTGTGGTTAGAAATTAGTACTGTAGAAAAATGAGAATGAGAATGAAATAAAAAATGGGTGTCAAACAGGGGTATAAGTCAAATGGTCGAAGGGAAACAAACCAAGAGTAAGAAAAAGTAAATAAATAGGTAAAAACAAAAATCACACATTTGAACCGACCGATTTCGACTGCAAATTGATCGATTTTAGAGGTAAATACTATTTTCGATTTTACCTTATCATCGATTTTTGGTTATTCTGGTCAACCAGTCGACCTAATTCGGGTTTCACAACATTTTTATTGGATATATGAATTGGAATTTGCTCGATTTCTATGAGTGATAAGATTTTAATTAATTTATCACTTAATATTTTCTCACACGGCCAATACCAAATATGCTATAAAGGTATATTAGGAATTACTTAAATGTTTTAAATAATTAAAATATTAATTATATTGTTAAAAATAGTACTTAATAATTCATTATTACCGACAAACGTGTTGTAATAATTAATGTCAATTATATTGTACCTACAATAATGTTTTGAGATGTCTTTTCACCTTTCGCTGAAAACTTTGTGCTAAGTTAATAAATAACACACAATCAAATAAATATCTCCTTTTTATACCCACCTCACTTATAATCTAAAGTCAACATATAAATCCCTTTCTATTGATTTGAAGTTTGGAATTAGCTTTGAGCTTATTGAAACAATGAATCTATATTTGTATAGAAGTAGCTAGTCGAAAGTTGTTCAATCATTCGAGCGAAAAATTAGGTTTCGATTCAACAAAGATAGACTATTTGGTCAAATGTCTAATGTTGTAGATTGATAACAGATCTAGCTATATGCACAAAATTCTAAATTGACGAAAGACAACATATCGAGTCAAAATATTTGCGCTATGATACCTCTATATATAGTCAAGGCAATAATCATCGATTATGTTTTGGGTTCGAGATTTGCGGACAATAAGTGTAGTCTCGCTTTGACTACATATGAGAATGATTTTGATTTATGAAGGGATTTGAGTATTCTACCTAATTTTGATTAATATTTTGAGATGTAACTATAAATTCTAATAAGTTGTCCGTGAGCAAATATTTGAACTTAACTTTGTGAAAGCGCAATATGAATCTTGAAACGTGTATGAAAAATTGAACTAAGCTGTCGCTTCAACTAATTGCAATGGCAAGATTGTGATATTCGCCTCTCGAAATTGAGTTTCAATTATAATATTGACTTCGTAAGTGGAGCTAGTGTATTTTGATATTTTTAGTTAAAAGGAGATGAACGGAAAATGTTATGTGGAGGGCGTGATGACGAGGTAGCTAGTGTTTGATAGAAAATTGTTGACGAATTGGAACAAAAAGTCTCACATTGACTAAATATATAGACGTACTAAACATACCCAGAAAAAAAAAACATAAATCCAAATAAAGAAAATTTGAAAACATCAAGATGAAAAATAACATGAAATTAATTAATAATTCATGACATTTACACCCCATGAAGGAAAACAAAAGAAGAAAAGAAATGCAAACATTGTTCCCTTATTTGTTTTTTAAATTTAAACTCTCTATTTTTCCCAACCCTCAATTTATTTATTTCCAAAATTAATAAATAAATTATAAAAATAAACTTATAGAAAATTCACCTCTATACCCAACCAACTGCCGCCCCATGTGTTCCACTTTCACCTTTGTTCTTTCAAAAGTTTCACCGCCAACCCACCGGTTTTCTGTCCCACTTATCCCCTCCGCCCCTCTGACACCTCCTGCAATTATGTCCCACCACCAAAAGCTCCGCCCACTTGCCTCATTTTAACAACTCGGCCAACCCTTTCCTCTCTCTCTATCTCTCTCTTCTCACGCAATTGTGTTTGTGTTTGTTGTTGAAGACTGCTGCTTGTTTGTGACAATCTCGTAATTCCCACCTTCATCTTCGTCCTCGTCCTCCTCCTCATCATCATCGTTTTCGTCGACATTCTCGCTCCCATTATCGTCTGGTGCAGATTCTTGGTGCTGGTGCAGATACTGGCCCTGGGGAAGAGGCCACTGCTGTTCGGGCCGGGCCATTATGGGCATCATTGGATTTTGATCAGGCTTCATTATGAATCCAGGATTAGATGAAGCATCATTCTTGGCTCTTTCTCTGTATAAAGCATCGAGTTGGTGGAAATATGGGCATGTTTTGGAATCCTCAGGTCTCTTCTTGCTACTCTCTTTAACTTTCTTGAAGTACTTGTTGATGTTCTCCCATTTCTCTTTGCATCTTTTTGGATTTCGATTGTATCCAAGCTTCGCCATGGAAGCTGATATTTCCTCCCAGAGAGGCCCTTTCGGTCCATTTTCTTGGTACTTTAGATCAAGACTTGTTCGAAGATCAATCAATGCTTGAACTTCAGCTTTAGGCCACCGGGAAGAACTCGCCGGAATAAAATTTTCACCACCATTGTTATCAGCTGTTGGAGTATCCAAAACTTTAGTCGGCGTCACAACCACCGGTGCAAGTGTTGGAGCTGGAGGTCGTGTTGGTGTTGGTGCTGGTGCTGGTGCTGGTGACGGCGCTGTCGTTTGTTGTGGTGGCGGGGGATTTTCGGGTACTTGTACCTGCATTGGCATTGGCATACGCATCTGAGGTTCATTAGCATTACTGACTGGAATTAGCAAAGTTTGTTGCTCAGTTATTTTCTGCAAGAATTGAATGACTGCTGCATCTTTTGCTGCTGCAATTGATCTTTCTTGGACTAAAAGATCATGCTCCCGATTCAATCTTGTCATTTCTTGCATCCTCCAAGCCTCTTCCTTCGCCATTCGTTCGCGCTCTCGTTTCTCCAAAGTTTCTAAGAATTTCCTCTGAAGTTCTTCTTGCTTGTCGATCACATCCTTCATCAGCCTCTCGAAGAAATCCTTCCATTTTCTCTTCCTCCCACGTCGCCTTTGTATATCCTCATCCGACGAAGTCGAAGAAGAAGAAGAATTTGAGAATACTACATTAGAAGGCTGAAAAGTATGGCTTTGAGGAGGATATGTAGTAGTAGTGGTGGTGCTCATTGTTGGTGGTGGCAGTGCTGGCTGCGGTGGTGGTGGTTGCAATGGGTGAAATAAAGTAGAATTATTTGCACCTTGTGCAGCAGCAGCTGCTACAGGATTTTGTGCTACATTTACTGGATTTGGACTTGACATTGAAACGGCCAGCATTGGAGGATTAGTATTGCCCGACATTGGTGGTGGCGCCACGATACTCAGAGGCTGAGGCTGAGGCCGCGCCAATACAGGTTGTGGAGCATTGCTTTCCAAAGCCTCTAATTGATCGAAAAACCGATAAGTCTTGCCGTCTGGTTTCGCAGCTCGGCCTTCTTTTGTTCTCTTGTGATACTTGTACAAGTTCTCGAATTTCTCTTTGCATTTCTTGGCTGTTCGTTCAAATCCAAGCTCCGCCATTTTTCTGATAATAAAAGTTGCAAAGAAAAAACATGATTTGTTCACATCTCGAATTCTCCAATAAAACACAGTCATTAATACTAATAATTGCACACATAAAATAAACAAAGAAAATTAACTTCGTTAATTCAAACAACAATAACAAGGAGATAAAACAAGAAGGAATTTAAATCGGCTGAAAATTGTTCAACAAAATCTAGATTCTGATGAATTATATTGTAAAAACAGCTCAAAATATTCTATTTTTGGAAAAAAAAAATAAAAATTAAAGAAGAAGCGAAATCCCGGAATTAAATTCCTGAGAAGCTCCTGAATTATTGTGAAGTGAACTGAAAGACAATAACCCTTTAATCAAAAAGTAATAATTCAATGGAATTAAAATCGATGAATACTTTTACAGCAAATTCAAGGAGTTCAATGAAATCTATGGCAGCTGCGTGTGAGTGCGTGCTTTGTGCTAAAAACCATGAAAATTCAATTCAATTCATAAATATATATATTTATTTACCTGGAAACTTCTTCCCATAATGGACCTTTGAGACTTGAATCTCGAAAAGTAACGGCCATATCAGACCTAATTTTAATCAGAGCCATTGTTTCTTGCCTTGGCCACCGGTTCCCACCGACACTCCTCTCATTCTCATCCATTCTTGCAGCCGCGGCTGCCTTATCTTCTTCACTGAACCCACCAGGAATCGAGGTGGCACCGCCGCCAACTTCACTACTTCCACCGCTAGCTCCGCCACTCTCGTGACCTTCTGGTGCGGCCCCACCACCTTCGCCTGAGCTGTTCATGATCCCTGAAACACCCAACATCATCTCTAGTACAAAGGAGTCCCTGTCCACCCCTCCTCCAAGATGAAAAATAAAAAATATATCTCGAAGATGGTGAATTCTGTGCGTTTTATGAAGATGGGATGTGGTGAATTAATAATTTATTTCGGTGGGATCTGCCTGTCAATCTCACACTATTGAATATTTAAAAAGAAAACATTTTTTCTCTATTCTTTTTATCGGAGGAATCTTTACCATTTTTCTTTCAATCAAGAAAAACTTCAACAGAACATCAGTAAAAATAAAAATTATACACACACCATTTTCACACATATGTATAAATGAAAAAAAAAAAAAAAAGGTTTATAAATTTTTGCATCTATAGGTGTATGTATAGAGAGAGGAAAAAAATAAAAAAATAAAAATTGATAAGCAACAGCTGCATATGGTGACGATGAGGATAATAAGATGGATTTTTGTCTAAATGTAGTTAAAAGCCGGCCCACGTAGGTCACCTTTGCTTTTTTAAGCATTTTGGCTTTCAATGACTTGTGGGCTGTATATGAAATGACTATACTGCCCCTCACATGTATTTCCCTTTAATCGTGGTATACCAATCTAGTTTAATTATTATTTTATTTTTATTAATCATATGTATTGCATGATCTTTTTGTCCAAAATACCCTCGGTTTAATAGAGGCGACCATAAAAATGGTTTGAAAACTGACTCAACATTGACTTGAAGATGTGAAAGATCAAGAGTTAAATTATTGAATCAAGAGAACAGTTCGGTTGCGAATCGACAAATTCTGAATATACTGGTCGAGTCTTAAATTATTATAATGTATTTTAAATTTTGGGTTATTAGCTTGTAATTCGACTGATTTTTAGATGTGTTTCTATTTTCATGGTGAAATTGATTGGTCTAATTCAATTCTTATACTGATCAATGTAGACTTTCTTTCATATTTCGATGTATGGTGGTTATGCCACCACGTCTATGGAGGGTTAGTGAAAAAAATTTTGGAGCTTGAAAATTAAATGTCATTTTTAGAGTGGGATCCATATTTGAATTAAAACTAGTTAGACAAAGTCATTTATGAATAGAGTAAATATTGGCCAATTTCAGTTGGGATTCCAAACCTAACCCTAATAAATGGAATGAAATTTAACGGCCAGGATCGATTTTATGCATCATTTCTCATTAGAAAAATTGTTAATATATATTTTATTCAAGGTATTGTGTAATGTTTTTTGGATTTATTGGGCGTGTATTGCATAAATAGGTATCCACACGTAGACTTCTGTTTGAAAACACGTACATGTATCATATGATTCGATTAAGAGTCGACAAGTCTACTCGATTGAACGTTGAGTAGATAGAGTCAAATTTTAATAAGTTGTCTCAAATTATAATTTCTCATATTTTTTTCATTGTTGTCAAGATTTGTACTAATCCTGAATTTGTCATTACGTTAAATGCACCTCACTTAATTACGAAAAATATATGATGTTAAAAGTCATACAGTCTCGACTCCTCAAACATTATCGTTGAATTGTGTGGTGATAAGAGACCAGCTCACGCTGTTATTTACACGAACTTTGCCATTTTGTTTTAATTAAATGAGGTTAAAAGTAATAATATTGAGACTCTTCGAAAGTCAACAACTACTTTCCTTGTAAGGTTTTATATTTTTATATCTATGATAGTTTGCGTATGATGGAAATTTCAAATAACCTAATTACTCTACGTACGGTCACAGAATTAGAATAATTAAACAGTAACTACCCTAATAATGGACCGACCCACAAATAATGCAGAGAGTGGACCCAACCAATAAGAAGCCATTAAATGCATAAATAAACAATAATTACAATAAATATATTTAATTGATTATGTCCGATTCTCAATTCTTTTTGAAATGGAAAAAAAAAAATTAGTAATTCAAAATTTAGTTAAAAAATCATGTAGTGAAATCAAATGCTTGCCATGTTATTAAAAATTAATTATTTATTAGGTATACAAGAAAAGAAATGGTAATACAAATAATACGAGGGGCACTTTCGGCAATTCAAGTCTAATCTAAACTTAAGATTTACGGAAGGGTATATTAGTAAAATATTAAACGAATGAGGGCGAATAAGTAACTCGAAAAGTAAGTAAACTTCAAAGGCACAATGCGCACCGCTTACAATTTTAGAGAGAGAGAGAGGTGAAGGGAAGGATACGTAATTATTGATGAGAAGACTAGTCACATTTTCTCTCTCTCAGAATGGTGTATTATTTTCTCTCACTATATATATACATATATAACCGTGTATGTAATGTAAATACGTGTATAAATGTGTATGTAGAGACAGACAGACAGACTGTAGTTGCTTATCTTACAAAACATCATTTTTACTAGTTTGTTTTATGTCTTTGCTTCGCTGTCTGTGGGCTTCTCTAGCTGTTAGAGATGCTTTCCCCACTACAATTACGGATGCTACAAGTCTCTACTAATCCACCCACCCCACCCCACCCCACCCACACTAAGCCCTTGTTTGAGATCCATCACTTCAATTTATAATGAGAGAAATGATTTTTTTTTTTTGAAAATGTGTGGTTAAAAATGAAATTTTTTTTTTTTAAAATTTATGTGTAGTATTATTTTAATAAATAATGTGTGGTTGATAAGAAAGATGAAAAAATGAATTTTAATTTAATGATAGTCAAACATAAGATAAAATTACTTTATTTAAAAGTTTAAGTAGTTAAAGACGAGATATATTTTCGTCTATAGGTAAACATAGCGGTTAATTATTTTCCATTAAAACTTTGACCAACTGAAATTTTCGTTAGTGGATAATCGTGGAACTTCGGTGAACTCAAATTTTGTTGATTCCACGGTTCAATCTATGTTATATAAAATGTGACTAGTACCTAATTGCTTAAATTTTTAGATGTGACAGTTTAGCATAATATGAGAGGAGGTCGAAGTCTTGAGATCAGGTTTTGTTGTCGATTTTGTATTAAAGTTATGCACGTGTTAGGCTTCAGAATTCTGATTACGTACACACGAAAGGGTGTGTTGAAGTCTTGAAGGCTAAATTTAAATAACTTGAAGTTGGAATGATTAAGTCGTCCAAATTTATCTTATAAATAAAAAGTTGTCATTAGGGTTTTGCATTACTACAAACCAACAAAAAAAGGATTAGAGAAGATAGAGCGTACGAGTTTCTCTTGTAAACTTTTTGTCATCAAAGTAAATTACCCGTAGCGATATAATAGGATATAGTCTCAAATTAAAGCGAATCTCAATAAATCTCAAATTTTTTGTGTATATTTTCTATCAGAAATTTTATTACTTCTAATGGTAAGATTAGGGTTTCTAATTCTCAATATGATCAATCGTTTGTAAGTTAAGGCTTGAGTGACAAGGCTTTTAATAAAAGTTTTTAACATATTTTTTAAAAAATGATGAAATATATTATTGAAAAGTTGATAAAGATTACGAGCCCACGAAGTGAATGTGACTATATTAAGGACTAATTACAGGTTGCTCACATGGCCTAGCGGTACATCTAATGAATTAAAAGAAAAAAAAAAAGTAGAAAAAGAAATTAAAAATTCGTGAAAAAAAAACAGTGAAATCATGGATTTAAAAAAAAAAAAAAAAAAAAAAAAAAAAAGTGGTGGGAAAGGAATATTTAATGAATGGATTTTAAAAATCACTGATCTGAAAATAAATAATGAATTAAAGGGCTAGTGTAGCATCAGATAGATTCTTGAGATCAAAAAAATAAATTATTTAATCTAATTATTGTCAGGTAAAGGTCCTTGCTAACTCTAGAATGTGATTAGATATAAAATTATTTCCAGTTGGTACAATTTGTTTGCTTGAACATAGAATTAAGAAGTGATAATTGTAAATTAAATATAAAATAATTATGTATAATAAAAACAAATTTTACTGGTATGAGTTGAATAAGGCTGGCATGTCAACATCTTAAAATTGACAGCAAAAAAATAAATAATATCCTTAATTAAATAAATCTATTAGGAAGATTGGAATTCAATTTATAATTACTAACATTGTTTTACACAGTAATTGGTGGTTAAACTTGTTCAATTTTCTCATTAACACACTTTTTGTGTAAAACAATAAGGGTTGCAAATGAGTCAAATCGCTCGTCTCATCTCGTCTAGGCCTATGAGTCTCTAGACTCATATTGAGACGAGATATGGACCAACCGAGCTCGAATTTTTTTTACAAGCAGTGTTGAGTCGACTTGTTTTGAGCTCATTTTTTGACTTATCTTATAAGTTTTTAAAAATAAAAAAATCGAGCGGGCTTATGGGTTGGCTCGCAAAGGGTCGAGCCGGCTCAATTTGGTCAATCGCCACCGCTACGTAAACGTCAAATTATATTCTTGAATAGTTGGACTCCATTTTTTTTATTAGTTTTGATACTGTATTAAACCATTATATGGGCTGGCAAATTAATCTAGACTATAGTAATAATTGAAAGAGATGTTTTGTGAAAAAAATAGTTGGATATTTATTAGCTAAACAAGTTGAGTGAGAAGATAACCAAATGGCTCAAGTTGTAAATGGTAGCCATCAAATTGAGTTACTTTTTTGAAAAGGCATCCATGAAATTGTGTGATTTACAGCACAAGAATGAATTCTTGAAATGTCTCGGTCCAATTTCCGTAAGAATAAAGCTTCTTGTACATAAGCTTTTGACGGAAGGGATGACAAATACACAGGTGTAGTCATTGCATTAGCTGATTTAAAATTATTTTTTGTCCAATATCTAATGAACGCTTGCCATCTGGCTATCGTCAACCTATATGTATAATTCTTCTATACATGTAACAAAATTCTTTATGTAAAGTAGCCCTCTCCTTTTACAATACTTTCCTCCCACTATAAATAGCAAAAAAGTATCTATATGCACCACATGCAAATTATCAATACAAGAATAGCATAATCATTAACTGTTACATCCAAGCACCAAAGAAGGCCACTATTTTTT